CTCCTCCTCCTCCTCCTCCTGCGCCTCCTGCGCCTCCTGCGCCTCCTCCGCCTCCTCCGCCTCCTCCGCCTCCTCTGCCTCCTCCGCCTCACCGGCCTCCTCCTCCTCCTCCTCCTCCTCCTCCTCCTTTTCCTCCTCCTTTTCCTCCTCCTTTTCCTCCTCCTCCTCCTCGGGCATGTTGGCTCCTCTTGCGAGGCAGCACGCGCACGAGGCCGACACGCATGCACGGGGAGCGGGCGTCCGAGCAGTGGCGGGCCGCGGGGTCGCGGCCGGAGAGGGCCGGGCCGCGAGCCCGCGGGTGTGGGCACGTTGCCCACTCGACTAGGCGTAGGAGTGACCTCTGTAGAGGAAGCGTCTTGTCGGCACAGCATCGGCATGATCCCGCCAGCTTTCTGATACCATTTGTCCCCCCTCCGCGTGCCGCCAGCTTTCTGTTTCCAGAGGTTTCCCCCCCTTCCTCCTCCCCTCCTCTTGGACGTGCCAGTGATGTACGTAGCGTTCAATGTTTCCAGCCCAGGCTGCAGGTCTGGAGTCGTCAGTCACAGAGCCTTAGCTGCCGCCATCAGCTGCCCAATCAATCAATCAATCAATCAATCTCACCGGGTATGGACACGTTTCCCACTCGACTAGGCTTATGTCGGGCGTGTCCCCCTGCAGGGGGATTTTCGACGAAAAATGAAAAGTGCCCCCAAGAATCCCCAAGAAGGTAAAAACATATTCAACAAATAGTCCCCAGACTATTTTTGGATTATTTTTTGATTTTTGTTGGGATATTTTTTATTTTTCGTCGAAAATCCCCCTGTAGGGGGACAGGCCCGACTTAAGACTAGGCGTAGAAGTGACCTCTCGCCGGAGTGGCCTTTGGTGCGGGCACAGATGGGTCCTCATATGGCTGAAAACGAAGCGGTAGCAGCGGCTTGCGCGCCCAAGTGTGGTCTCCCCGCGGCCCCCGGAAAAGCCGCGCACCAAAGGTCTTTCTTACCCAGGATCACTCTTGCGTGTAGCCGACCCACCGCGACTTCCCTCGAGGACGGAGGGCCGATGCTGTTGGGCGTTTCTGGTCTTGCTGTTGAGCCTTCGGGAGCCCTTGGGGGGCCGTTGGTTGGTCCTTGCTGGTGCTCGTCACGGTGTTCTTGGCCCTTGTTGGTCCTTGTGCTGCTGGACCTCGCGCGTCCCACCCCCCTCTCTCTCTCAGTCTCTCTCTCTCTCTCTCTCAGTCTCTTTTTTTTTTTTTCTCTCTCTCTCTCTCAGTCTCTCTCTCTCTCTCTCTGCATCTATTCCTCAATCAGTGCTTGCACTGAAGGGGTCCTAGCGGATATTGAAAAGATGGCGAAAATCCGGGGCCGATTTCGGTAGCCGGCTGGGTTCCCGGTTTCCCGCTTCCAGGTTCTTGGGTTCCCAGTTGCTGGTTCTGGGCCGATTTCGGGATCCCACGATCGAGCTCACCATCCACCCATCGATCCCATGATCGATGGATGGATGGTGATATCGGGATCCCGATTTCGACTGATCGATCTCATCGATCGGGATTCGGGATCCATCGATCTCATGATCCATCCCACGATTCCGGGATCCCACGATCGCATGATCGATCTCACTTTCCAGCTACGGACTGGATTCTTTCTCTGGCGTAGAACATAGCATACAAGCAGAAACGCGACCCCCCCCCCCCGGGGAGCGTCCCCCACCTCCGGGAGGCCCCAAAACGCCCCCGGGACTGTCCAAGACGCCCCCAGGGAGCCCCCAGAACGCAAGAGGGCGGCCCAAGACGCTCCCAATCAGCCCAAGACAGATTGCCGACGGGATCTCCAGGCTCCCAGGAGGCCTCCAAGAGGGCCCCCCGGAGAGCTCCGAGGGGGGTCCCGGGAGCGCGCGAAGATCACCACCCACCAAACCACTCCAACCCAACCCGAACGCTTCAATTTGCCCTCCATTTCCAGTGGGGGGGGGTCGGGGAGCACTGAAAAAACACATGGAACCCGTAGCCCCCCCAACCCGAAATTCGGGGTCAAATTCGGGTCTTCGGGTTGGGTTGGGGTGGTCTGGTAGGTAGTCAGAAGATGCCAAAAAGGTTGATTTGCATTGTTGTTTTGTTTTCTTTTTTTTGGGGGGGTTATCAGGAGGGGAAAAAACACACAGACACAATTAATCGTCGATTCCCAGAAAAATGTGGAAAAATATGGGAAGTGGGGGGGAAGGCAAAAACATAGAACATATGGGAAACTGTGGGGAATCCTTTTATTTGTGTGTATTCATTTGTGTGTCTCAGGGCCCCTTCATTTTAGTTTTCTCACGTTTTCGAGCTTCCTACGCTCCAAGACGGCCGAGAAAGGCCCCCAAGCCCGCCCCAATACCGCCCAAGATCCCCCAGGATGGCTCCGAGACGGGCCCAAGACGGCCCCAAGACGGCCCCAAGACGGCCCCCGACAGCGCCCCGAGGCAGCCCATCAGAGCCCCAAGATTGCCCGAAAAGCCATCCACTAGGGGGAATGAAAATCAACAATCCCGGCTTTCCGCTCCAAGAGGCCCCCAGGAGGCCCCAAGAGTCCCCCGAAGTGCCTGACGAGACCCCCAGGAGCCCCGAAGAGGCCCAAAAGTGGCCCCAAGAGGCCCCAAAGCAGCCCCCCCCCGCAGCGACCTCCAAGCTGCCTCACAGGAGCGCCCTGCACGCCTCTTAGGCCCCCCTCGATTCCTGCGCACTACATGTTAGGAGGCCCCACTTGAAGAAAAACGGAAATCCAATGATTCTTCATTTGTTCCAGTTCATCCAGAGCCCCATCAAGACTTCGGGGTCACATTGCAAAGATGTTCCGGGAATGCTGTTGAATTCCCTGACATTGTCTTGGCACTCTCTTGGGTCGTCGTCCTGTTCTCTTTGCTGCCTCTGAAACCACGGTAAACATCGAGATCCCATGAGTTCACTTGTCCAGCCTAGCTAGAACATCAGCGCGCGCAACAAGAGAGGGCCACAAGAGAGGACCTGCCCAAGCCTTTCGAGCGTTTTGCTTCAAGATGGCTCCAAGGTTCTCGCAAAGGCTCTCGAGGCGCCCCCCAGATGCCTTCAGAGACTCCCGGGAGGCTCCCAGGAGGCCCAGGAGGCACCAAGAGCTTCCAAAGAGGCCCCGAAGGACTCCCAAGACGCCGCCAAAAGGCCCCCAGAGGCGTCCCTAAAATCGAACCGGGGACCCCCTGGGCATGGAAGAGATCAAAGGGAAGGGACTTTCAGTTCCATTCAAGTACGACTTCGATTACGACCTGGTTCCATTCACCTCGAGTTGACTCGTGAGAGTCTCGTGAGAGTCTCTGGGAATGGAAATGCAAATCGCATGAAAGATCGTCTCTTAGGAACACCCAGGAACAACGGAACCATTATGGGATACTGGGAGTAATCGAGCTCGATTTTTCTTCGTATGGGATACCAGGAGTATTTGGGCTCGATTACTCCCTGTCTGGTATCCAGGTATGGGATACTGGATACAGGGATCCCAATGTGGGATCTTGCGAATAATCGAGCTCGATGATTCCCTGACTGGGATCCCAGTACGGGATATTGCAAGCCCAGTGCGGGCTACTGAGAGTAATGGGGCCCGACAACTTCCAGTATGGGATGTTGGGAGTGATCGAGGTCGATTGTTCCGCGTTTAGGATTCCAGAATGGGATATTGGGATTCCAGTATGGATACAGGGAGTAATCGAGTTCGATTACTCGCAGTTTGAGATACTGGGAGTTATCGAGCTCGATTGCTCCAAGTGCCCCGGCGCAAAGGAGCATCGCCGGTTTATGATTGTAATTATTGTTGAACTGTCAGTTCTGAAGAAAAGTTAATTGTTGATCATCCCCCTCCGGTGCACATTGTATTCTTCCTGTCGAAGTGCCCCATCCCAGAGCTCGCACCCGTTCCTTATCAGGGAAATCTTGAGGGTCAAACTGGCCCCTTGGCCCCCGAGTTACAACAACAACGGCACACTCCGGATACTTCTTCACAGTTTATTCCACAATTGCGCTCTCGCGCGCGGGTCTTCCTCATAATTTATGCAGGAGTCGCGCTCTCGCGTGGGACTTTCTCGCCAGACGCCGCGCCCTCCACATTTAGGAATCATGCTCTCGCTGTGGATTTTTCACGATTTACTTGGGATTCGCGCAATCGCTCGAGACTTCCTTGCGATTCATGAAGGGCGCACGTTTCAGCAACCCGCCTGCTCGACCTGGCCGCCTGGGCCCGCCTTCCCGACCCGCCCGTCAGGGTCTACCCGCCCGATCTGCCCGTCTTGTTCTGCCACGTGTTTTCTGCTCCTAGCCCCCCTCCTGCTACTCTCTCCCTCTCTCTCGTGCTCCATCCTCCTCCCTCCCCCATGTCCCTTACATCCGTCCTCTCTTTCCCTGTCCTAGGGCCACGCGAACTACACGTTGCACGTAAGAGAGATATACCCCCAAGGGGGTACGACCGAAGACGAAGAGGGCAGGGATCGAGGGTGTGGGGTGTAAGTGTTGAGAGGCACGCGAGCAGAAAAGGGCCAACAATCTTGCAACTATTGCCGTTGTTGTTGTTCCTGCTGCTGTTGTTGCTGTGTGTGTGTGTTTCTCTCTCTCTCTCTCTGTATACATGTGTATATATATATATGTATATATTGCTTGTTCCTCTCTCGCTCTCTCTCTCTCTCGCTCTTCTCTCTCTGTCCAGGCGGATCGAAGGAGTTCCAGGCAGCATTGGCTCTGGCGCTACAGCTGGTCATAGGCGCGATGCAAAAGCATGTCGCAATCCGTCTGAGTCTCAGATCGGCAGCGGTTCCTTCCCGAGACGGAAGACGACGCCCGCACGTTCTTCGCATCCTTCTTGTCGCTTGCCCCAGTCGCTCCTTGTCGAAATCTTTGCATTGCCGCTTCCTGCGTAGGGCTGGCATCGCGGCGTTCCCGTGTGGACGCAGCACACGAGTTGGCAACCCAGAGTGCTTAGTGGACTTGGGCGGCCAGGAGATGTACAACAATGTCCGGAGCTCGGTGCTCAGCCGGATTGACATGTTCGCAAGACAGGCGCCTGCGGGGCCTTGTGTTTTTTCTTCACGAATATATGGAGCAGCCGTGGCAATGGCATGGGCACGAGCGAAAGTTCAGTGTCCTTACTCGCATGCGTGTGTTTGAATTCTGTCCAGCTCTGGTGTGTGCGCAGACGAGTTGCATCACACCATGGGTGCGCACGAGTGCTTGCCGAATCGAGCGTCGGTCTCGTTCGTGAAATTTGCTCTGAATGCCTTTCTGTTTCCTGCGTTTGTTTGCCGCATTGTCCTCAGTGCTGTCTTTCTGTCTCCTTTGAGGAAGTGGGTGCGCGCATGAGAAATGATCGCAGTGTTGGCGCACACACATGTCATCAGTAATCGCCACATCAGCAATAATATAACAGTCGGATGATGGCGTCTCCCTGGTTATCCGCATCACGCAAGTCAGCCGAGCAAACTCTTGGGAGAAAATATGGCAGAGTGAACGTTCGCATCACCACGTGTGCCCACCTCTGCTTAGCCACTGCATTGGGCATCCGTCTTGGCAGGGCGGGTCGTCCGACACCCGAACACGTCTCGGGGCTTCCCGGAATTTGTTTGACCTGTCGTGCAGCGGCCCTGCTGCTGTCGGTCATCGTGCTTCCAGGCCTACACTTTTTGGTCTGCGGGGCGAGAGCGAACCTCCTCAGATAAAAGCTAGGCGGGCTACGCACAGCTCTAATTGGGGAGACAGGGCACAGGCGGGCGGGGCCTCAGGCGGCCAGAGGGCGGGCCGGGGTACTTCCAGGCCTACACATGACGGTCCCATCAAGGATAGAGGTTGGGTCTTGTTCGGTGTCTGAGCCGGATCGCTTGTTGCTCATAGCCGAAGGAGAAGAGGAAGCAGTGCGTTGCTACTTCAGCTCTAAGCTTCGAGCCCCTAGCCGCGCTCATGAGCCCAGAGCCTTTGCCAGGGACGCAGACGCAATCTTTGAGCTCGAAGCCCTGGGTCCTATGGACTTCCTCCATCCTCATCCTCTTTCCTTCTCGTGTCTGCTCATTCCCCTGTTCCCCCCACTCCCTCCCCCTCTCCTCTCGCCTACTCCCTTCCCCCTATCCCGTCCCACTTTCCCCTTCCGTGCTTCCTCATCCCTGCTGTCTCGACTGTCCCTCGCCCCACGTTCGCCACTCCCCCCCTCTCCCTCCCCCCATCCCTATGCGCTGCCCTTCCCTCATTCCTCATCCTGGCCAGCCTCGTCTTCACCCCACTCCTCTCCTCCGTCCTCGTCGTCCTCGTCCTCATCGTCGTCGTAGCCGTAATCGTCGCCGTCATCCTGATCGTCGCCGTTCTCTGCCTCCTTGGCGGTGCCGTGCCGATCCGTTGCCACACTCCGCCAGGCCGCGCGGCGCGCGGGCGCTCTCCGCTCGCAGGCGCCCCTGGGACTGGCACCCGACTAGGAAAGGTGGAGGGACATTGAGAATTACGGAAGACTACAGGACTACATTAATGACCCTCTTCTTCCTCCTCCTCCGCCTCCTCCTCCTCCCTCTCCTCCTCCTCCCTCTCCTCCTCCTCCTCCTCCTCCTCCTCCTCCTCCTCTTCCTCCTCCTCCTCCTCCTCCTCCCCCTCCTCCTCCCCCTCCTCGATGCTGTTGCCCTGCTGGGATGCATTGACCGCGCGCGCAGCTCGCACAGACAATCAATGTGCGAGCACAGCTCGCGCACTGCATGTATGGGCTTGGCAGGTGGTACACCGACGGCGATCGAGCACAGCTCGCGAGACGACTGCGCGCGCCTGCAGCCCGTCGCTCGTCTCCTTCGCGGGCTCCAACTCCACCCCGTCGGCCTTGGACGGGCGCGGGGGCAGCGATCGCTGATGGGCCACGCGCACCCCCGACGGTATCATAGCGGCCTCGTCGCCCTCACTCTTCAACCGCCGCCCTCCCCATATTTTGACGCATAGCAGTATAGGTTGGCATGGTTTGGCAGGAGTGATTGGACTGCGGTGCCGATGTGATCGCATCGGGGCGGGGCGCGCCCCGTCGGCGAGCATTCTCATCGCACCCGCGCTGGCCTCCTCCACCACTGCAGCGACTGTGTCCGCCGCGGGCTCGTCCTCCACCACCATGTGGGGTCCTGTGCATTTAGGGGGAGGGGGGTGGGGGGTCGCGCACGGATCGGCGGGCATGCCCGCCAGGTCCTACACCTCCTCCCCCAACTTACAGCATTCTCCGCCCTTCCCCCCGCACGCGCACCCCACCCACCCCCCAAGCTACGCCCCCCCATCCCCCAACATGCACCAGCATCCTCCCCCTTATCTTGTGCTCCCCCGGCGAGCATGCTCACCGCGTCCTACGCCACCCAAAATCAGCCAACATACGCATTCCACACTTTTCACCCACCCCGTTCACCGTAGCAGTCCTCGTACGCCGCGGCGCACCGAGCACAGCTGGGCGGATCAGCTGGCCTGTTCGGCCTGCGCCACGGCGGCACTGGAGGCGGCCGCTGCGCGGGCGGGCGCGGAATCATCCCGAGCGGCCGCTCGGCCGCGTCAGCGCAGCCCCGCGCCACCATTGAGATTGCATGCGTGCATGCATCTATGCAAATACATATCTACACATGTCATGTGTGGGCCTACCCACATATCTACACACGTGTGTACCATGCATGCGCATGTGAGTTTACACTTTATTCACAACCGATGACACCATGATGCCATCGGTTGTGAATAAAGTGTAAACTCACATCAGTGCTGTGCACAGCCTCGATGTCGTGTACTAGTTCGGCTGCGCCCGCACAAAGAAACGCCACGCACTTGACTGCGAGCATGCCCGCCCGACGCACGGGCAACATATTTCAACGCGTAGCCACTTTGGCAGACGGGCGGGGGCGCGCCGGCAGCATCGCCCGTGGTGGCGCGCGGTGCCAGCGCGGGCGGTGCCCGCGGCGACAGGGCCACAAATGGCTGCATCGTCGTCGCCTTCGACGACGGGCGGCGACGTCGTCGATGTCGTCATCGTAGTCTCGCAACATCGCGCCATCCGTGGCCGTGCCCTCCACACCGATCCATCGTCACACTGCCAGCTGAAACGCGTTACCGTCATCCCCTCCCAGGCCAGTCGCACCCCCGCGCCGACGCCACTCCCAGGAGATGTACCCCACGCGGACGAGGAGGTTCAGGAGGAGGACGAGAAGGACGCGTGAGTTGTTCGCTTGCGATTACGAGCTTTGCTCGCAAACAACGCACCACTTGATGATGATGATGATGATGATGATGATGATGATGATGATGATGATGATGATGATGATGATGACGATGGTGGTGATGGTGTCTGATGATGGAGGCGCCGATGGTTAGCCGGTTCGGCGCGAGTGGGCGCGTTGCCCGAGGCGCTGAGCTCGCGGATTAGCGTCGGCGTCGCGATGGCCATGGCGCAGTCGGACGACTCCATGTCCGCGTGGGAGGCATCCGCTTTAGTTTCCGCCGCGAGTGCGGCTCGTGCGGCGCTAGCTTTGGCGTTGCCCAAGCGTTGCTTGCGCGGCGTTGCAGCGCGACCAACGAGCTTCGCTCGCGTGGCGCTGCAACGCGAACGTCGCCAACTGGCGAGCTTTGCTCGGGAGGGGAGTGGCGCGCGACGCGCGCGTGCAACTACGCCCAGCGTGGCTGGCGCGGGGGGGAAGAGGAGCAAAGAGGGGCGCGCCGCCAGCGCCGCCCATCAACGAGAGGCACCAGGCGCATTTCGCGGGCCAGGCTTCCGAGGGCGTCTCGGACATTCCAGGGCAGGCTCCTCGAGGCCATCAAGGAGAACGGCTGTGCGAGAAACGCTCGCCCACGCGATTAAGTTGGGGGTGCGCCCCGACCGCCGGGACGAGGCTGGATTCGCGCCGCTCGACGCCCGCGACCTCCTCGGCGCCCTGCGCGCGAAGGGGTGGGGCGACGGCGAGTACTTGAAGGCGCTCGCGCGCGAGATCCATTCTGCCTGCGCCGCGTCCGCGCGGGCGAGACACGCATCCGCGTTTCGTCTTGGAGAATTGTTTAATGATGCATCAGCAGTTCCGCTGGGGCGCAGGGCGCGCGCTCGCCGCTCGCGCCGTTGCGAGCGCCCGCTCGCAAGGTGCGCGTTCCTTTGGTCGACGAGCGCGCGCTCGGTTCGAAAACCCGCGCAGCGTGGGTCAGAGGGCCCCCGCCGACGACCCGACCAAGATCCGCTACTTCAGCGTGCGTCTAGCGGTGGGGTCGGACGGCTTGCCCCGCGCGATCGAGGATGCGGGCGAGCTGCAGATCGCCGCTGCGCGGTGCAGCCGCGCGACGGCCACGCCGCGCGCCATGCATGGCGCGGCGCGGTCGTTGAGTAAAGAGTTCTCAGACGAGAACGGCCGCGCCCCCACGGCCCGCATCTGCGAGCGACCGCCGTTTTTCAGGCAGCCATTGGATCGCAGCTTGAAATGCAGCGCCATCATCGGCTCACTGGCGACGCGCTGCCCAGAGCCGACGAAGCGCGCGGCCCAGGGCGGCAGCGCGAACCACGAGGCCGCGCGCCGGGCCACCACGGGGCAGCACTCCAAGAAAATCTGGGCGATCGCCAACGCCCAGTCTAGCCTCGACACGGCTGAGGACTGGGCGAAGGCGACTCGCATTGATGCCTTCGGCATGCCGCAGGAGTTCGAGAGGGGGCTCTCGTGCCAGACGACCAGCTCACGTTATTGTCGCAGCCGCCCATGGCGAGCGTGCTCGCCGCCCCGACGACGATTGACGGGACGGTGCATCTGGCAATGCTCGCGCTCAGCGCGCAGGATGGCAGACGCGAGCGGGGCAGAGGGGGGAGGCGGCGCGCCTCGCCCGCCTGCGCGATCCACGGCGCGGCGGGGCAGCGCCGACGCCAGCTTCGTCAGAACGCGGGGTGGTGGGAAGGATGGCGAGGTGCTCGACTACCTGGAGAAGCTCGAGCGGGGCCTTGCCGCGAAGCGCATGGTCAGCTCCGACGACTTGCAAACGTTGAGCCAGCTGAAGTTATCGGAGGGCCCCCTGTTCGTTTTTGGCGATGGCGTTGCCCCCGAAGTGGGCGACTCCAGGGGGCGAGAGCGCGCCCCTGTCCTGGGGGGAAGCACAGGGCGAGGGCAATCCAAGCGGCGAAGATCATGCACTCCCGCAGGGAGTTCAGTGATGCGTACGCGCGCGTGGGCGACGTCGCTAAGCTGAAGCACATCTCGCAGCTGGACGGCCGCCCGGTCATGCCGGCGATGGGGCGGGGTCGCTGGGAAGCGAGCCATGGCGAGCGATGCTCGCTGGATGACGTAGCTCGCTGGGTGACAGGCGCGCGCCGCGCAAGCCAGGCGCTGGGCAGGACGCGCGAAGGCTGCAAACAATGCAACTCTATGGTCGACGTGGCGGGGGACTTCTGGGCGGTCATCAACGACGACGAGGTGAAGATTCGGCAGCGGCGGTTACCGAAGCTGGAGGTCGGGCATGGCGACGAGGGCGAGTGCGAGCACCCGCCCAAGACGGCGAAGGCGACGCCCACGCCGCCCCTAGGGATGACGCCCCTATCCATGATGGGTAGGGGGGGTCGATCGACCCCCAGGCGTATCTGGCCGAGGGGTTCGAGGCGGGCGTCGCCATCGTGCCGCGCCGCGCGCCCAGAGCGGCATCGGGGGCGAGTGGCGACGCGCTCGCGATCATGGCGATCGACGGCCAGACCGTCCGCTTGTCATCTGCGGATGGTAACATTCAGAAGAAGACGTGCGAGGTCATCGACGGTTACATGGTGCGCGTGATATGCGAAACCAAGGTTTGTGGTTCGTAATTTGTCAGGAGGGGCGTCGGAGGCTGGTCGAGCCGCGCTTGCTGGGCGAGGCGACCTGGGCGCATGGGAGATCACATGCGCGGGATAGCGGAAGTGAGGGGCGGAAGTGGTGGTAGAGGGGGCGAGGATGCGCATGATGGGGATTGCCAGGTTGTCGATTGCGGATTGCGCGGCGCTCGGCAAGCGTCGGCATTCGAAGGGGAACTTCGTCGAGCCCCTGTAGGCGCTGTGGCGGATCGCGCGCAGCTCGGTCGGTGACGACATGGCGTTCGGGGGGGCAAGTTGGCGTGCAAACAGGCACCCCGTGGCGTAGCGAACTCGCGAGCGACGCTCGCGCCCGCGATCTACGATCGCGCGATCCCGCCCCACTCTTGCTGGCTAAGCTTCCACGTGCGATCGCGTCTCCATGTCCCACCGCTCAGGAGAGCGCCAAGACGACAGCAACATTGGTGGCGAAGTGCGCCATTAAGAAGGGCGAGCTGCAGATTTTTTGGGGGCGAGATCACCGCCATCAGCAGTGGCGATTTTGTCACAGCAGTGATGGTGCCCGCGGTGCTTCGGCATGGCGGCGCCGAGTACTGCGCAATCATCCGGGGCAGGCGAGATCACATCACCGACAAGAAGAAT